CGGGGCGGTGCTCTGGGACGGGGAGAAGGCCATTACTGGGGGACCCAGGAGCAACGCAGGATGCCACCACGTCCACAGAAAAGCAGGTCTTCAGAGGAGAGCTATAAATGGTCCAGGAGGGCAGAGATAAAATCCAGACTCCCTCCAGGCAGGGTGGGAGTGCTGGGACACAGTGCTGTGAGCTGAGGGCACACCAAACCATGCAGATAGAGAGCACCCAGGAGACCCACATTTCATTTTCAACACACACAGAGATGCCATCTCTGGGCCTCATCCCTTCACATGGTACCCATGGAGGTGCTGAATGCCTCCTGGGACCAGAATTGGGTCAAGAAATGCTAAATCTAGATTGAGATCTGCCGTGAACTTCAGAGACCCCTGGGTGAAAAGCAAACCAGAATGAGGATCTCACACAGGAGCAAATCAAGAGTACCTGCTTTCAGTGGGTAGATTTCTTTCCTAATGTCCTGGGGCTCGATTCTTACCCAGGATCCAGAGGGAATGGGCTGAGCCCACCTGGGTCTGTCTTCCTGCAGGGCACGTGGCTGTACCTGCTCCCTGCAGCCTGTGTAGCTCATCATGTCCCATTTGCCTGATCCCAAAGTGTTGTCCCACAACCGGGTCATTTCCCCATCCTGGGAGACAAGATAGGGCAAATCTCTGCAATGGGAACTGATAGCTTTTGTGGGCTGGAAGGAGGTAAGAACACCTACGAGAAGCTACAGCCCATTCAACCCAAAGCTGCTGGTAACAAGAAACCAGGAGAGGAGCTAGGTGAGCATAAGTTGACCCCAGCTCAACATTAGTGGGCATGGCAAGAAACAACATAGTAAAGTCCGCACGGGGGAATCCAAAAGTGAATCTCATGCTCTTTAGAGGGAAAGCCTCCTTTGTGGAGACTAAAGGTCTCAGCTAACCCCCCTTTGCATCTCAGGACTTTCTGAATGTGCCCAGCAGAAATGGCACTGAAAGGCTGGGGGTGCTGGGGAGACCAAAATAACCCAAACCACAAGAGATCCCCATCTCACCCTGGCAAGTGCGGAGCTGGCTTCAGCACAAGCGCTGGGGTCGGTGCCGGTTTCTCCGTGCTCACCCTCAGCTCCGGGGCTGAGTGGGGGATATCCCCTGCTCTCATGCCAGCTGTGGGGCAGGGAGAGAGGACAGCTGGTGGTCAGCACATCCGGCATAGCTCCGGGGTGGGTGGCAGTGCTGGCAGCCGAAGCCACACCAGCTCTCTCTCTACTGGATGAGCAGAGGCTGGCAGAGCCCATTCTGGGACCACTAGCCTTGCTCTAGAAGCAGTGAGGACCAAGAAGACTCTTTTGGTGGCCCCCTGACCTCTAATTGGCCAGCAAAGAAGAACTCAGAGAGCATAGCATGGGGTTTGCTCAGCCCTTTTCCTGCAGAGCACCAGGGAGAAGGCATCTGATTCCCCCTTGCTTGGCTTCCCACTCCCCCTCCTCCATTCTTTCCACCAAGGGAGCTTGTCAGAGCAGCTGGTACTCACCCCTCCGTCTCCTCTGCTGGGCCCACGCACAAGTACACCTCACACTGGGGGGCTAAAATGTGGAGAGCATCCCAGGGCCCGCCTGGGTCTGCATCGCTGCCGGCATCACACCCTGGAACCTCCACGGCACACTCCTGCAAGGATGAAAGGGGTGCAGTGGTGCTGTCAGCATGGTGAGGATGAGGAGAAAGGCTGCCCTTTGGGAACACCGGTTTCTTCTACCTCCTCCGAGAGCAGCCTGTCCCCCAGGGCTCTTGATGCCTCTTCCAGCCCACAGTTGAGATTTTCCTTCTACTTCAGGGGGTGAGAGAAGTCTAGCACGCTCCTATTTGACGCTGAATGCTGCAGGCATCCCAGAGACAGCGTGTGTGGATGAGGCTCAGGGAAACTGCCCCCCCTGTGTCGGCGCTGGTGCTGCTGGCAGCCTCTCTCCTTCGTCACCCAGATAGCCCAGGGAAAGGCAATGGAGCCAAGATGGAGGGTAATTTTTGCAGAGAAGGCTGAAGCCTCAGCCCTTGCTTCTCTCTGTCAGGGCTTGCAGGTGTCTCAGCATCCTCCCCAGCCCCATTACCTGCAGGGCTTATGAGCAGTGGGGGAGGAGGCTCTGGAAAGCTGGCTGTCCATTCTGCTTTCCCTCCCGCATCTCACCAGCACTGGGATTCACTCAGAGGCGACAGCTCTGAGCAGATCGCAGGCGAAGGGCTGAGGTAACCTTAGAGGGCCCGGGGCCAGGGGGAGAGAGGGAGAGGGCAAGAAAGAGAGAGGGCGGCTCATTACTATTTCATCATGCCAGGCCAGTTGCTCCTGGAGGACGGCGAACAACACGAAACCCTTTGTGAATATGAAACCAGCTGTCGCCCGGTCAGAGGCAGCCAAGCGGCCTGTGCTTCCAGCCCTGTGCTGAAGGACTGTGTTGGACTGAGGGCACCCAGAGCCCTAAGTCCTTTGAGATTTATCCCCCTCCTGCCTTCCTCTCTGGGAACGGCTCACTGCAGCTTCCTCAGAGACAGGACTCAGCCCAGCCCTAAGCTGACAGCTGGGGGCCACAGGGACATCCACAGGACCACATTTTAGGCGAGGCAGGCTGTAAATGCCAGCAAACATCAAACAGATCAATCCAGGATGGGTTCCTGCTGTGCCATTCCCCACTTCCCTCCTTGTAGCTTTGCATCTGTGACACCCTGCTTTCCCTTCCAGGATCTATCAAGCCCCTCTTGCTCAGTGTCTAGCCCTTTCCAGCTAAGGTGGCTCCCAGCTCGGGTCTGGGCATGGTTAAACGATGGATTCCCATGCATGGAAAGTCTCTCCCCATGCAGCTTTCCCCCAAAGACATCCAGGAAGGCCAGCTGAGCCTTTGTCTTAGGGATTTTCATCTCTACAAAGACGCAGGGAGTCCCAACATGGAACAAATAAGCTCTTAATTAAGTGTTCATAGCCTCCAGGTGAGATGGAGGAGCTCACCTGGATAGAGTGCTCGTGAGCCCCTGCGGCTTGGAAACAGTGCTGGCACAGGCTCTTTGCAAATATGTTGGCTTCAAAGTTCATGCAGGGCACATCATCTACCGAACCAGACATTGTCCATAGCAAGGATGAAGATCTTTGGCTGATGGGCTGCTGGCAGACGGCAGCCAGGAGGAAAAGGAGGAAGGAAGAGCAGCAGAAGACCAGAGGTTTTTGGTTCCCCAGCCTCAGGCTCCTGTGGAAGCAGGAATATTATTCCCAGACTGAAGTTTGCTGCTCTCAGCTAGCAATACTGGAACTGAAGGGCATCAAGGTGCAAGATGATAATATGACCCACGTAATTATAGATAATAAAAGGGCATGCTCCCGCAGGGACTTCTTTTAGAATGGGGCACTGGACCCTCAAATGACTGCTGACACTCCCCAATTTGGGAGTCCCTGCAAACAGAGGGAATGATGCCCATGTCCTGCTATTTTGTTTTGATTATTTTTTTCCTCCTTCAAGCTCTCTTAAAAGGCACAAAAAGGAAATCTTTCCTCTTGACTCTGTTGCTCATAAAGGGATAGCCATAAGCAGCTTAGGCAATCTGGAAACCCACTGAGACTCTTCCTAAACTTGTTGATTCCACTAAAATTTCTGAGACCTGGAGGACAATTGATTTCAAAACTGTGAAGGGCAACAATCCTTGCTAGCACAACAGCTGGGCTCCACACTTCTATTCTGGCTTTTCACAAACATCCTGCCCACCATCACCTCCTTTGTCCCAGAGAGTCTGAGAGCGAGTCCTTGGATTTGTGGATATGATCTGTACTGGGAGGGCTCCGCTTAGTTTGTCCAGAGAAGGCACCAACAGAAGGACAGGGAATCAGTGTGGCATGAGCAGCATCCTTGATACGAACATGCTACTGCTCCCCTTAACAAGGACACTTGTGTAAGCGCAGTTGATGAAGGCTATGGCTGCTCCTGAAAACACTCAGACCCAACTGTCAATGCCAGAACCAAGCTCTTATTTTTGTTTGTCTGTGCATTCACTTGCAATACAGCAAGTTGCACTAGTGTCAACCTTGCAGCTTCCCTCCTCATATTGGGGCATGTTTTCTTGATTCCTTCACCCCAAACTCTAGACAGGAACCTAAGCGCTCACCTGCCAGGGATGCAGCATGGAACACCCCAACACTGCTGTCTCTGGAATGCCACCCGTGGCCAGAGCCCACGCACACCCCACTGCCTGATGGGCAAACCATTGCTCCCCACATCCCATGGGGCACTTGGGGCCTACTGCCAGGATAAGGCTGTGCTCCCCAGGGTCTCTAACATGCACGCACCCAGCCATGCCCATCGGTCCCAACACCTCCCAGTACCCCCAGTACCTCAGCCTCCCCACGGCTCCCAGCACGTCGCCGCCCGCCCAGCCCCCCCCAA